AAAAAAAAAAAAAAAAAAACAATGCACGAACCCATCGAAAAAATTACTAAAGGGTTCTCAACCATTTGCCAAAATGTGAGCCCATCACGAGAAAAGTGTTTGTTGATTACATTTCGTTCAATGCACGTGGTGGTCATTAGTTGAACATCGAATCTTCACCAACAGCATCAACCGAACGCCGAGTACTGCAGACAACATGCATAACAGATGCTACATGTGGTGGACAGAAAACACGTGTTATGAAAAGACGGACAACAGCTCGACGCACGACGGCGACCTCACACAAATAAATGAAAAAATAAAAATATCTTATAATTTGAAGCAACACCACGATCCAAAGCACATACGAAACAGAGGGGTGTCGACCTGCTCCGCGCCGCCACCCGACAAGCTCCGAAAAACCCCTCCAACCCCTCTCCCCCCCTTCCCTTTTTCCCATCCCCATGGCGGGAACACCGCCGCGGCAAGGACGACATCAATGAACAACGAAAAAAATAACAGCGACGTCACTGCCGATCACCTACGACAATTGAGCCGCTTCACTGCCGATCACCCATGACGAGGAGAAGCACACTACCGTCGACTACAACAACAAACACCTACAAACAAGTCGTCCGCCACTGCAAACCCTGCGAGATAACTCTGCGCGTATTCGCGAATGACGCAAGCGCTGCGACTCGACGACGGACGCACACGGCTTCTGTCTATGCACGCGAGGCGGAGTGGATCGACACGCACGATCAGATGTGTTTCATCCGCTCTGCAAGGGCATTGCGGAGCGCGTGTGTGGCGTCCGTCGATGTCAGCATCGTCACTGGTTGCGGTGGACGATGAATTCCCAGGTCCACTCGCCGCCTCACCCCGTTCTCGTCGACCTCCCACAACAAGTTCTCGTCGAACTCGATCCCAGCATCGAGCAGGATGTTGTGGAGAATGCAGACGGTCATGAACTGCTGTGGTAGAGTATCCAAGTTCGTCTTGTGCAACCGCAGGAAGAGCCTCCACATCCCCTTCAACCTCCCGAACGCCCTCTCCACAGCACCTCTAGCGACCTTCTGTTTGTTGTCGAACCTTTCCTCGTCTGGGTGCTGATTGATTCCTCCGTACGGCACCACTATCCATTCCGAAGGAGGATACCCGTTGTCGCCCAAGATGTATCCGTTCGTCCTCACCCCTCCCGGCAGCGTCACAGGCGGCCGGCGAAAAAGCGTTCCCTCTTCCGCGCACCTCGACAGACTTGACAGCTGAATCACCCGAATGTCGTGGCAGCTGCCCGGGTAGCCAATGAAGACGTCAAGCACACGCAGATCCAGGTCCACCACCACCTGCGCAACGACGGAGAAACGGTGCTTGCGGTCGAAGTAGTTCTCGCTCGGAGCGTTCGCCGGTTTGTCCACGTAGATGTGTGTGCAGTCAACTGCGCCATGGCAGTTGGGAAAGCCCTTGTCTTGAAACGCCCGTAGCACCACGTGTTTACGCACCCGGGTCGGCCACGATATCTTGTCCCCGTAGACCCGCAGCAACGCGGCTGTCACATCGTGCACGGCTCGAACTCCGGATGCTCTGCCAATGCCGAACGATGATGTGCTGTTGTCGTACGACTCTCCTGTTGCCCACCTATACAGCGAGTACACGACGATCTGATCCGGCTGAAGCGGCTCCCTGTAGAACGTGACTTGTCGTTGCAAATGAGGCGCACAGGCTTCGGTGATCTCCATGAACACTCTCCTCGACATGCGGAGCTTTTCCCGGAAGTAGTCATCCGTCGCGTCGTCGCACACCCGCAAATCCTCCCAAGTCCCGCCAGTTCTCCGCCTCATCCACCAACGTGGCGTCGCCCTGGGAAGCACACCGGAGCCGATTGCAACGCACAGCTGAGCCACGGCCTCCGAAGTCGTGATGCAGTCCGGGGCGTCCAACACCCTCTGCAGCAAAAGCCTGTGTCGCCGCCTGGAAAGCGGTGCCTTCATGCGGCCCGCCGCCTTCTCCAATTCGTATCGACGGACTACGGCAACGGCTGCCGCCGCGACAGCTGTCCTCTCCGTCGGCAACAGCACAGCACGCCCACCCCCATCACATCCCTCCATTCGCGCACGTCCACGAGGAAGAGCAACGTCCACCGCCACCCACCTGCGCGAATCAACGTCCACGGCGACGATCGAAGACGCCTACAAAGAGGTGTGGAAGACAGGCGTGATGACAAAACGTACACCGTGATGGGAGCGTTCGTCCTCCGTCCCTGAACCATGGAAGCGCCGCCCGCATGCACGTGGCGAGCGCAGGAGAGGAAACAGATGATTCGTTTTGCCCGCGACGAACACACTGCACACGGTGGTGGCGCGGTGCCGTTGAAGTACGAAACGCGACGTCAAGCCTGCGCGCCCGTCCCCCAGTCGACGTGCCCTTCCGCCTGTGCGCCGCCACACCGTCGTTCCGCGCGAAGAAATTTCGAATTTCGAAATTCGAACGGGGCCATTCCCGCGTTCGCAATTTTTTTTTTCCACGGCCCGTGACGTTTTGCCGCCGTCCGGCTGGTGGACCAGCGCACCTCGCACACAGACATCCCGAATCGGAGGTCGGACAACACCCTCGCGGTCGTCTATAATCTCATGAAACTGGCCGCGGGACGGCCTCGAGGACGCATCCTCGGGGCTACTCTCCGAGGACAGGTGGAACGACGCCTACAAAAAAAAAAAAAAAACTCCGAGGATTCGTCCTCGGAGCTCGAGGACGCTCCGACGAGTGTCGACGAGTGTCGAACATTGCCCTATTTTCAAATCATTCTCATCTGTTCGCAGTCAGTCTGATGTTCGAATGACGTGGTAGCACAGAAGGGAGTGCCTTGCAGTGTCTACAGATAGCAATTGGAAGGTTCGAGTCGTACGGGACAGGTTAGAAGTAGTTCATGGATGTATCTTGTCGCTTTACTCCACCTCTTTGACAACAGCGAGGTAGCTGGCCCTCGACGATGGTATGTGTCAACGAGGGAAGCAGCGCTAGGGTAGGGTTGGTGGTGGAACCTCTTCTCGGGCTGACGAAGGGACGGGCGATGCTAACTGGGTCGAACACGTTGGAATTCGCGATCAATGCGAACAAGAGAGCTGATGTCACGCCCAACCTCACGCCCAGCGCGACTTCCTGTTCGGAGTGGGGTGTGGGCCTAGAAGTGCGAAAAGGGGTGTGCCAAGGATTTTTGGGAAAAGTGGGGGGGTCCTAAGGGTATGAATGCAATTAAGTGAATGAGGGGTGCGTGTGCAAGGGACTCAAGGCCCGATGGGGCCCGTGCACTGTAGACGACGGCTTACGGGGAAGTCCCTCCGTGGTGGATGTGGTCCTGAACAGTTAGGCCGTCGGGGGCCGCCACGTGGCGCAGGCCGCCGCGTACTTGGATTGGGCCTTCAGAATTCCGGAGTTCTCTGTTCGCCGCTACGTCGAAAATTCACCCAAAACGTATCAGGCCAATAGGGGGCTATGGCCGGCCACGGAACGACACTGAGTTGGTGATACGGGAGAAGAAGTTGGAAAGGAGGGAAACTGGTGGTGATGACGATAAATCCCGGGTGGGTGAAGTAGTAGGTGTGGTTGGGGGAAGGGAAATCAGAGCACCGAGGGTCGCTAGAGGTGGCGCAGTGGAATTCCCGCGGAC